CTATATGACATAAATATTTTCCTTTCTTGGCAAGCGGACGTGTTTTTAGAGAAAAGGCAGTATATACACGTCGCGAGAAAATCCCATTCCGAAAAACTGATCGAGAAACGCAGGTGTGAATAGGCTAGAGTTATTCTGATTTTCTTCCGTCGATAAAACTATCCTCTTTAGCATTATTACGGAAATATACTATCCTCTAAGATAACTGTGAATTAGAGATCTTTCTTTCTTGCAAAACTCGAAAAATTGTCTTCAGTTAGTTTTAATATTTTGTGGGAAGTATCCCATAACATGTGACTGAATCAATTTTGGTACTTTATAAGTATTTATATCTAGATCTCTGTTATACTTTAATCTGTATTTTCAAAAGGTCACTTTCTTTTACTATAGATTTGAAAAACCATAATAGCATATCCTTAAAATGTCATCCATTGGGTCTGGGGTAAATAAAATTTTGCCAAAGCCGTATCTACATGACTTAAATCTTTTATTTTGTGTTTAGTATGATTTAAGTGCTTCACAGTTTTCTCCTGACGGTCGTGTATTTCAAGTTGAATATGCCAATAAAGCCGTTGAGGCTAGCGGGTAAAGATCAATTAGTCTCTTTGTTACATTATAAACTACTATTGATATTTCCTTTTTCTAGGACTGTTATTGGTCTTCGATGTAAAGATGGTGTTGCATTTGCCGTAGAAAAAATAATTACATCACGTTTATATGAAAAGGGCTCAAGTAAACGGATTCATAATGTTGATAAACATATTGGCATGGTATGTTTTTTCAATAACACGTTTTATTTTGATGTTTTAAAATGAGTTTATTTTTTTAGGCTGTTGCCGGTCTTTTAGCAGATGCGAAACAAATATTGACTGTTGCACGTGATGAAGCAAAACAATATAAATATGATTATGGTGTATCGATTCCTGTTAAAGTATGCGATCAAGTGTTTGCTTATATCATTTTTTTGTTAATGAATTATTTTTTGCAGTATTTAGCTGATCGTCTTTCAATGTACATGCACGCCTATACATTATATGGATTTGTTCGACCGTTTGGTTGTCAAGTTTTTTTGGCTTCATATGAACATGATGGACCACAGTTGTATGCTGTTGAACCGTCTGGCGTTAATAATGTACTTAAGAACTTATTCATTAATTTGAGTTCTAACTCCTTTTTCAGTTTTACATTGATAAAATCTGTTTACATCATATAAGAATTTACGTCTGAATCTATTTTCTACATTATTTTTAGGGTTATTTTGGATGTGCTGTTGGCAAAGCTCAACAAACAGCAAAAACAGAAATCGAAAAACTAAAGGTAATGTTTTTTCAATGATAAAAGTTATCATTTCTCTAAGTTTTCTGCATCAATCAATATTTTATTCATGTTATAGTTAACTGATATGAAATTAGAAGATGGTATTAAAGAAGCAGCAAAAATGTAAGCATTACACACAATTATGTCTTTCGTAGTAATCTTATTATTTTTTTTGTCTACTTTACTCTCCAGTATTTATCAAGTGCATGATGAAGTTAAAGATCGTATGTTTGAACTTGAATTAAGTTGGGTAGGCAAAAGTAAGTTACAAGTTTTAGTATTTAAAATAATAATAGTGTTTATAAGAACTTATTTTCTTATAAAATAGATACAGAAGGCAAGCATGAGAGAGTGCCTACCAACGTTTATGAAGATGCTGAAAAATATGCAAAAGTGAGTACTTTATAGAATTTTAATAAACATAATTTTGCATATAAATCTTTTATCTGTTTATAGGCATCACTAGAAGAAGCCAGTGACGATGAGGACGAAATGTAATTAACTATAGGATAATTGATGATTAGTTTGCTTGCATATGAACAATTTGTGATGTCCGTACATGTTTTCTGTTTTTGTTTTTTTATTGTTGTTTTATTATAAAATAAACCAGACAGCATATATAATCTTTCTTACTAATTATATAAATATGTTTTTGTTGAAGTTTAAAGAGAATTAGAATGATATGTGCTGGAGTCAAGTGGCTGTTGTTTGTCGAGGGAAGAGCAAACAGTCTCTGATGTAAGAGCTTTTACTGCTTTAGTGACATTTTTTTGCAAATATTTATTCGTAGGTAATTAATTTGGTCAATCAGTGGAATTGAAAAAGCGAGCAACACAGAAATATTTTGAATTTAACAGCACATATGGGTCGTTTCACTGTTCATAGACACAAAAATTAACAACTTCCTCCTTGATTTAGAACATGCTACAAGAGTAAACGATATATGTGCGATACACATGGAGAATGTAAATTATATTCTGCCGTTCATCTATATTTTTTATTAGAAACGAGCAGGATTTGCATGTAAGTGAACCACATAGATAAGAAAACAGAACAGAACGAAACGGTGAAACTAAATCTATCTTTCACTCTGCAGAAGAGAGAGAACAAGATCGATAGAGAAACATTATTTCATTTTTAGAAAAGTAAAGATATAACCAAAAGCTGTCTAAATTTAGTATCTATTTTAGGCAGAAATTATGAGTTCAAAAGTAGAGGGTAAAGTTATCGATGCTTTAGTGTTAACAAAACGCTCAATAATATCCAACTTTTATTATTGACTTTATTATATTGCACATAGATTCATTCGATAGACAATGAAATTCTGCATCGAATAGACTATTTTAGAGATTTTTATCATGTGACATGACTACACAGGAGATCAAAAATACTTTAAAGCCTGTTCACAATGAGCGATAAATAATAAGATTTTGAGCTTTTCTCAAGATTTCTTCCAACATCATAACAGATATTGAAAATAGCTTCTTTCGATAGACAATGAAATTCTGCATCGAATAGACTATTTTAGAGATTTTTATCATGTGACATGACTAAACAGGAGATCAAAAATACTTTAAAGCCTGTTCACAATGAGCGATAGATAACAAGATTTTAAGCTTTTCGCAAGATTTGTTCCAACATCATAACGGATGTTGAAAACAGCTTCATTCGCCATTCGATAAAAAGTCTTCATCAAGTTCCAGATCGACATTCGAAAATATGATTTTGCTGAGGAAGTGGGTCCTGTAGAGAAAATTCACTGAAAAATCCAATATCTCGGTCCAGGTTCGCTAAGGGCCCGTAATATATGTGTTAGTTTGGTGATGAGATTGAAAATTTGGCCGAAACATGATTAAGATAGCTAATGATCAATACAAACACCTCCATGGTAAGGGAAGATCTACAAAGTGCAAAAGTCTGAGATTAATAATATGTATTATAGTCCAGCCTCTAATACGATTTTCTAGCAAAATCTGTGAAAAAGCTAACCTTTTATGCTTTTTTGTTTTTTCACAAAAAAACTATATTTCCGACAGTTAGAAAATTGAATAAAAAATACTTCAAAAATCAATATTAAAAAACCTATAATACACGATTCGATGCATCTTCATCTCCTCTTTCTAACGGTGAAAACCACAGTTCTCTATCTTGTTTCTATCAAAAGTTATTCAAAAAATGCTCACTAGCATTCATGGAACCGTGACACATACGAACAAAACAGATCTTATCGAAATTTTACTATTATGCCATTAATTGAAGTATGATCAAATAGCATAGAAAAATAGAGCTTTCGTTTCTCTATCAGACTGTATAGAAAAAAAACTATCGAACCCTCCTTTGAAGGATTATCATACCTCCGCAACTACTTTTGGACTGACCTAAGTATTTCAGACGTGTCTAGTCCCGTTTTTCGTAATGCGGCTAGACGCTTCAAAAACACACTTTGTTCAAAAGTGTAGCACCGAAATTTGAACAAGAAAATGCTCTAAAACTCTAAGGATCAACACTTCTCGAACTTTTAAACCGAGAAAGATCGTAAACATAGGCGGCGGAGCGCCTTGAATCCAGGTGAGGCTCATAGTGTTTTCTTCTCTCCGGTTGAAGTTCGACGATTAAACTTTTATTCAAGTGTCACAGCAAGTCCTTTTTCAACTTCAGCTAGCCAACCAGTCATGTTCGAAACTAGGTGAGGCTGAGCCTCAATTGGCAAAATCTGGGTGAGGCTTGAGCCTCTGAGCCTCAGTGGCTCCGCCGTCTTTGATCGTGAAGAAAATAACAAAAATTGCCCAAGGTTCTTCTTGAAGTTCTAGATGTGCATTACGATTGCAGAAAGTAATCGGAAAACATATTCAACGCCTTTTGTCTTACAGAGAGTTCAAAGTTAGATATAGTTCCGCCAAACCAACTATCATCCGAACACCTATATGCAATCCAAAAGCTTTTTCTATCTTGAATTTGCCACTATTAGCAAAAAAGTGCTGAAATGAAAAAAACCGCTTCTATTGGAACACAATATAACACCATTTCCAAAACTTTACCACTTTGGACAAAGTAAAAGTCTTGAATCTTCTAGTTTAACAAATCCTTCACAAAACCTGAATATACCTTCAGGCTTTTGGGAGTGAAACAACTGGCGGGAAGATAAAGAGTTAATTATCTGGCGCCAAATTCGAGTTTTTTTTGCGCTCGAGTCTGTTTCTGTCACAATTGGTGGGACGATTCTAATTAGAGCTTTTTCTCAAGAACTCATGCAAGAAACTGCACTTTTTCGTATTAGTTTTGAGCAAAATAATAGCTCTTTACTCAGTTTTAGACATAGCAGCCATTTTGAATTTCTATTGGTTGGTGCACAGAACGATTAAACCGTAGTCCATTCGTATGATGATACTTTTCAGTGTTGAAATAGTAAATTGAGCACTGGAAATTATTTCTTTTAAAGTTACATAAATCAGACAGAATAAACAAAGAGTAAAAACTCTAATATTCGTGTTTAGGCGCGAAAACACTTTGGCAGTGGTGCCTTAATAACGACGCCAAAAGGTAGAGATAAAATAACTTTTTTTCTGAATTTCCCTTTTCCAAATTTTATGCCAAGTTAATATAAAATTAATTCTACAATTTTACATATATATATATATAAGTCTGTATCTCTGAGCCTGACAAAAGTTCGTACTTTTCATAAGAGTAAACAAATTAAAATGTGTTTATTTCATTTGCTTATCGGCTATGCACATAAAACTGCAGAATAGACTCGAGCATGAAAAAAGCCTGAATAAAACGGTTTATCTTTTTATTTATGTTTTGATATGTTGTTTCTACTTTACTGTTTAAAATAACTCTTCAAATTATCTAACTTTCAATTCAGAGACATTTTAACACGTTAGAGTCGAAACATGATCCAGCAGATAGAACTCTTTTATATAAATCCCTTAAAACCTAGATATCTTATTAACGAGCACCAGCAAAGTCGTTTAGTATTCTTACTGAACAGCTTATATGCTAAAATAAACTTTAAAGAATGTTGTTTTCTTTGTTTATAAAAGAGTTCTATCTGCTAGACTGTTATGACTTAGAAACAAATTATAACAGTGGAGGAATATAAGATATCTGTTAGTGGTGGAGTCAGGATTTCGTGCTAGGCTGGGCTCAGCTCAGGAAAAAGAAATTTTATTTTTCACAGACAAATGAAATGAGAAACCATCGTTGAAAGCCCTATTTCAGCAAAAATTAAAAAACTGTCTAGACTGAGCTCAGAGCTTTCTAGGCTGGGCTTAGCCCAGTTGGTGGCTCCGCCACTAATATCTGTCCTTTGTGGAAACAATTTTCAAGGTGGGGTGTCATTAGTGGATCATGTTTCGACTCTAACGTGTTCAATCAAGTTCCAAGTCATCAATTTGAAATTTATATTTGAATTGTTTAGCTTGCGTAATAGCCGATCTGCAATGTGTGGCTAATACTCTCATGTATGGTCGATGATGATTTTTTAAAAGATATTGTTCGTAAATGTACGTCTTTAAATGTAGTCGGTAAATATGAACTAATTCGTGTGTTTGTTATCGATTTGTTTAAAACATAGAGTTTCAGTACATTATCTATCTTGATTATTGTTATTTCACGATGACCGTATTTAACTTCTAATTCTTTTATAATTCTTAAAATATTTCTGGGATGATTGATCATAGTAGGTGGAATCGAAACAAATGATAGCGATTGGGCAGCATGTACTGGCCATAAGTGTGCACTTACAATATGATTTTTGCCCGTTTGGAAGAGTTCACCTAGTATCATACATGTAGTTGAAGTAACGTCGTAATAATGGAGGACAGTTGCTTTGATACTGGAAGACCTTGACCCCCCCTTTGATGATGATATTTTTAGCCAGGGGTCTAAATGATAACATATTGACAAATCGGCAAAATCATGGTATGATTTTTCAGATGAGTTGTGTGCTGCTAGTTGAAGACGTACACGTTCCAGATGTACTAGCTCTTTTTTAAGGGCTATTTCTTCTTTTTTAACTTGCAATTCTTCTAGTTTGATTTGTAATTCTAATTTTCTGATATTGTCCGCCTCGTTATTGTTGGCCATTGTGAACTAGGTCTGTCCAACTAAAGAAAAAATATCATATTTATTCTTTCTATTATTCATATAACTCTATTATCAGATTTTAAAACATAAATCATGAAAGCGCTATTCTTAACGAGAGATAAATACGAAAATAGAAGATTATTAATTACCATTAGTGTTAACACTTTTGAACCAAAAACGACACTCTTGAAAGAGTTCGACTTTTTCGAAAACTTTTTTTTAAAAAAATCCAGAATATAAAAAACGCGGAGCAACCCAGGACCGGTTTCGACCTTGTTCAAGGGTCTCTTCAGCTGGGTTATGGTGTGAAATATCGTGGAGAAAATGAATGCACGTACTTACGTGTCTTCTCGTTTAGTTGATTCAACGGAGTTCAAACAAAATAAAATAGACAGGGAAAAGTTCTTGTTCAAGCAGAATGTGCATTTTTTTCGAGAGAAACAGGCTAACAAGGCTTGATTTTCTTCATTTTTCGATCGAGGGAATAAAAAATTCCTTCTTATTCATATACACACAGACATGTGCTCTATTTTCGTCTTTTTCGGATAGAAGAACACGAGTTCTTTTTATCCATAGACAAATGTGCTTTATTTGCTTCTTGTTCAATAAAAAGAGC